GGCGACGAGCTGGGGCTAGGAGCCGGGGCTGGGGGAGGGGACCCCGAGCCTGAGGGTCCAAGCCACGGTGGTTAGGGTGACTGTGGGTGGCTGTGATTGTGTGTCAGTGTGTGATTGTGTAACTGTCAGCGTGTGGTTGGCTGTGATTGTGTGGCTCTGGGAGTCCGCGGACGTGTGTGACTGTCACTGTATGGCTGTCATTGTGGGTATCACTCTGATGGTGTGTATGGCTGTCATTGTGGGTATCACTCTGATGGTGTGTGTGTGTGTGGCTGTGTTGTGGCTGCCATTGGGTCGCCGTGTGACTGTTCTCACTGTGTGTGGCTGTCTTGCTGTCCATGCGGCTGTGTGCCTGTGACTGTCATTGTATGGCTGCTGTTGTGTGTTCATTCTGATGGTGTGTCTGTGATGGTGTGCCTTTCTTGTGAGGCCCTCAGTGAGTCTGTGTCACCATCCATGTATGTGTCCTTGTGTGGCCATATGGCTGTGGTGGTGGGTGGCCCTGGGTCTCTCCTGGGAACGTCAGTGTGAATGAGAGACTGTGTGTGTGTGGCTGTCATTGAGTGCCTTGTAATTGGGGGTGTGACTCTGTGACGGGTTCCGTGACCCTCATTGTGTGCAGTGACTCACACACAACGACTCTTAAGGGTGTTGGCAGCCCCCAGTGTAAGTCTCTGACTGTGGTGGGGGAGGGCTGTGAAGTGTGGAGGGTCTCCTGATGTCTCCCTCTGACTTTGGTTTTGCAGGGGAGATTGGTCTGTGTGGGTGTCTGTGACAGGCCATGTGCCTGCTCTGCCTTGTGTGTGAGTGTGCAGTGAGGTGTGTCCGACACCTGTCTGAATGAGCGACCTGTGGTGTTCGCCCAACACAGTGCCTGGATGTCAGCAGGTGCTCAGGCCTCATTGTGGGGTGGGTGGATGCCTGCCATGGTGTGTGGGTGGGGGGGGTGTTGGGATAGAGGCTGTAGTTGGGATGTGCACTCTGGGGGTGCTGGCATGCTGGCATAGGTGACTCCATGGGCATCTGGGACCTCTGGTGACCTTTACCCCACGTCACAATGCAGAGTGAGCCTCGTGGATGGGGCACTGGGCCCAGAGTGCCTGTTCTCGCCTGCCTGGGCCTCAGTTTCCACATCTGCACAATGGAGGTGACCATCCCTGCCCTGCTGTTTGCCAGGAGTGGCTGTGACTCTGTGGGCGTGGTGGCGGCCTGTGGGAGGCCGTAGGGTGCTTTCCCAGGTGAGATCAGGCTGGGGCATGGGTGTGAGCTGGTGTGACTGTTGTCCCCTGAAGCGCTGAAGACTGAGGGTAAACTGGGAGGAGGGAAGAGGAGAAGGGGGAGGCAGACCAGCTGGGAGGAGGGGTAAGGAAAGAGAGGCAGCTGGGAGAGAAGGAGGGCCTGGCTATCAGCCCACACCAGACACCAACACCACAGCCCTGGGGACAGAGAGGGACAGAGAGAGAGGGGCCCCTGTGGATGCCATGGGCTCAGGGGAAGGGGCTGGCTCCTTCTGGGGAAAGAGGAAGGGGTCCCCTAAAAAATGTTGGAGAAGGGACCCCCATAAAGATGGCGAGTCTCTTCTGAGACTCTAAAAGGTCTGTGTCTGAGGAAGGCTGTAGAGGGAAGGGGGTCACTATAAAACCCCTGGGGGGTGGGGTCAGGGGAGGCAGGAGGCTCCAGTGGTCAGGGTTGGGTTGACAGGGTGGGGCCTGGACTGCAGAGGCGTGGCCAGGAGGCTCAGGGGGCAGGACCTGGACTGCAGAGGCGTGGCCAGGAGGCTCAGGGGCTGGAGCTAGGGCTTCCAGCAGGCTTCAGGGTCAGGGCTGTGACCAGAAGACTCCGGGATGGGGCCAGGCCCCGCCCTGGAGCTCCTCCTCCTCCTCACCTCCGCAGGCCTGGGCTTCACCATGGCGGGGAGACCGCACCTGAAGCGGAGTTTCTCCATCATCCCCTGCTTTGTCTTCGTGGAGGTGAGAACCCAGGACTCAGGGGCACTTGTCCTGTCTCTCTCTCTGCCCCCGCACCTGCACCCATGCTCCCATCTCCCTGGCTGCAGTCCCGCTGTCTCTCTCCTTGATCTCTCCCTCTATGTCTCTCTGGGATCTCGGCTGCTGTCCCCTTCCTCTTGAGAAGCGGCAACAAGTGTGGACTCAGAAGTGGCACGCCCTGGGCTCCAATCCCGCTCTACCCCATTCGTAATTCGGGATTCTGGGCACCTCAGGTATCCTGCTGAGCCTGTTTCCTCATTCATAAAATGGGCTGTTATGAAGGTAAAATGTATTACTTCATGGAAGAGGCCCTGCCTGCCCACAACTACTTGTGGTAGCTGTTATCACTTCTGTTTCTTCTTATTTCCTTATTGGGGGTCTCTCTCTCTCTCTCTCATCTGACTCTGGTCCCTGTTCTCACTTTTCTCCTCCACTGACATCTCTTCTTTCTCTCTCTGCTGTCCCCTTCCCTTCCTGATCCATCTCTTCTTTCCCTTCCTCCTCCTCCCCTCCTCTTCCTTCCTCTTCCCACTTTAGTCGTGTGTGTGTGTGTGTGTGTGTGTGTGTGTGTGTATGTGTGTGTGTGTGTGTGCGCGCACACACTGCTGGGCCCACCCTCACGGTGAGGCTGTGGGGGTCGCCTCAGTCGGCCATGGGGAGGACCTCCAGGGAGGCAGGCGGGCTAGGTGTGGGGGGATGGGGAGCTGAATTTTGAGGCCAGGAGGAACCGCCTTGGTCTCACCCACAGATCCTGCTGGGGGAGCTGGCGCTCTCTCTTCCTCTCTCTCTCTCTCTCTCTCTCTCTCTCTCTCTCTCTCTCTCTCTTTTGAGTCAGAGTTCTACTTTGTCACCCAGGCTAGAGTGAAGTGGCATGCTCACGGCCACCGCAGCCTCAGGCTGCTGGGCTCAGGCGATTCTTCCACCTCAGCCTTCCAAGTAGGAACTACAGGCGCATGCCACCATGCCTGGCTAATGTTTTTATTTATTGTAGAGATGAGGTCTCGCCATGTTGCCCAGGATGGTCTCGAATCCCTGGGTTCAGGCAATCCTCTCACTTCAGCCTCCCAAAGTGCTGGAGTTACAGGTGTGAGCCACTGCACCCGGCTTCTCTCTGTTTCTCTGGAACCCTGACCCTTCTTTTTTTTAAATTTTTTTATTTTTTGAGTTGGAGTCTCACTCTATCGCCCAGACTGGAGTGCAGTGCCGCTCCCAGCCACCGCAGCCTCGACCTGCTGGGCTCTGGTGATCCTTCCGCCTCAGCCTTCCAAGTAGCCGGAATTGCAGGCATGCGCTACCACACCCGGCTGATTTTTTGATTTATTGTAGAGATGAGGTCTCGCTGCCCAGGCGGATCTCGAACCCGCAGGCTCAGGCAATCCACTCACCTCAGCATCCCAACCCTGACCCTTCTCTCACCCCATTCTCCATCTCTCTCCATCTCTCCCCCATCTTGGTCTCTCTCCATCTTCCAGTTCCTACTTCCATCTCACTCTATCCCTGGGCCTCCGCTTCTGGGGCCTCAGCTCAGGCCCTGACCGTTTCTCTCCTCTCTCTGCTGCTCCTCCTGTGCTGGCCGGGTGGCAGTCAGTGCTGCTGGGCGTCGTGGTCCTGCTGGCTTACCGCCTGGAGTTCACGGACACCTTCCCCGTGCACACCCAGGGCTTCTTCTGCTATGACAGTACCTACGCCAAGCCCTACCCGGGGCCTGAGGCTGCCAGCCGCGCCCCCCCTGCGCTCATCTACGCCCTGGTCACTGCTGGGCCCACCCTCACGGTGAGGCTGTGGGGGTCGCCTCAGTCGGCCATGGGGAGGCCCTCCAGGGAGGCAGGCGGGCTAGGTGTGGGGGATGGGGAGCTGAACTTTGAGGCCAGGAGGATCTGCCTTGGTCTCGCCCACAGATCCTGCTGGGGGAGCTGGCGCGTGCCTTTTTCCCTGCACCACCTTCGGCCGTCCCCGTTGTTGGGGAGAGCACCATCGTGTCCGGGGCCTGTTGCCGTTTCAGCCCCCCACTGCGGAGGCTGGTCCGCTTCCTGGGTGAGAGACAAGACCCCAACCATGGTAATGGCGGGGGGTGTTGGTACAGAAGCAAAGGGGTGTGAGCCTGCTTCAGCCCCAATAAGAAGGCCTGGGGGAGGCAGGGTGCCATGGTACATGCCTATAGTCTGAGGCAGGAGGACTGCTGAGCCCAGGAGTTCGAGACTAGCCTGGCAAACCTAAAAATAAGGATAAAGAAATAATTCTTGGGGGAGGAAGAGGGCCTAGAATTACCACGATGGGGCAAAGAGTGACTTGGACTCAGGCCAGATGTAACAGAGGTTCCAGGGACATGGGTGGGGCCTAGGACATGGGCAGGGCCTACCCCAACCATGATAAGGAGGGCCCAAAACTGCCACAAAGGGAGTCCCAGGCCGAAGAGAGGGACACCTGCACAGGACAAACACAAAAGGGTCCCAGGACAAGGATATCAGACTCTGGTTATATTTTACATGGAGTCCCAGGCCAGGCATGATGGCCCACACCTGTAGTCCCAGCACTTTGTGAGGCTGAGGCAGGAGGATTTCTTGAGGCCAGGAGTTTAAGACCAGCCTGGGCAACATAGTAAGACCCATCTCCACATAAAATTTTTTAAAAGTAGCCAGGTGTGGTGATGGGCACCCATATTCCCAGTACTCAGGAGGTTGAGGTGGGAGGAACACTTGAGCCCAGGAGTTCGAGGCTGTACTCCAGCCTGGGCGACTGATGAAGACTCTGTCTCTTAAAAAAAAAAAAAGAGTCCCAGCCACAAGTGGTGGCCATAGAGGAGGGGGGGAGCAGAGCTTATCTGTAACTGTAGTCCCTAGGCAGAGGCCTAGAGTCCCTGCTTTGGCTAGTTGGGAGGGCCCCGGGTAAGAGCGATCAGCTCAGTCACAGCCAGTGCAGGGGCAGGTAGAAAGAGGCCCAGCCATGCCCTGGGGGTGTTCTGGGAGGTGCCAGTCCAGGTGTGCTGGGTTGAGGGTCCAAGTTCAGTTATAATGGGTTCTGAGGGAAGGCCCGCTGCTGACATAGTGGCAGTCACAGAGGGACAGAGGCCAGGTGACAAGAGCCCCAAGGACCGGACAGCCAGAGTGCCTCCATGGTGGTCCCCAAGAACGCAGGACCTTGGCCCGGCTAGAATGGGGTTCCAGCTGTGCTTTAATGGCCGCCCCGGGAACAGCGGGGCCTCTGGCGGTGCACGAAGCCCCTCTCCTCTCCCACGCCTAGGGGTCTACTCCTTCGGCCTCTTCACCACGACCATCTTCGCCAACGCGGGGCAGGTGGTGACCGGCAACCCCACGCCGCACTTCCTGTCCGTGTGCCGCCCCAACTACACGGCCCTGGGCTGCCTGCCGCCCTCCCCAGACCGGACGGGGCCCGACCGCTTTGTCACTGACCAGGGCGCCTGCGCCGGCAGTCCCAGCCTGGTGGCCGCGGCGCGGCGCGCCTTTCCCTGCAAGGACGCGGCCCTCTGCGCCTACGCGGTCACCTACACGGCGGTGAGCCCCAGGAGCTGGGGG